TATTGCCCAGAACCAGCCATTATGGATGAGCTGAGGAGGAAGGAAGGAAGGAAGGAAGGAAGGAAGGAAGGAAGGAAGGAAGGAAGGAAGGAAGGAAGGAAGGAAAATAATATGCTTAGGGAAAGGGAGGGAAGGGAAGGAGAAGAAAGGGGTGAAAGAAGAAAAGAAAAAAGAACGAAGTAAGAAAGTTAAGAGGCTAGGAAATCAAAAGGGAAATGAGGAAGGAAAGGAAGAGGTCAGCCAAGAGATTTTGCAGCTCAGATCTTACTCCAAATGAGAGAGGAAGGGAGGGAGGGAAAGAGGAAGGAAGGAAGGAAGGAAGGAAGGAAGGAAGGAAGGAAGGAAAGCATCATTGCAACATCAGGAGCAACCGTTGACTGGCTTCTATAAAAAAGAAAGAGAGATGGACCTTCTTGGAGGAAAACACCCAACGCACGCATGGCCCAACATCTCATGCGCTTCCCCCTTCAACCGCCACCCAGCTGACGTCACCGAAGAAGACTCCCCTTGGAAAGCTTTCTGGCTGATGTCCAACCGAAGCATTTATCTCCTCCCGAGAACAGATGGGAGAAGAACGCCAGGAGAACCCAGTTGGTGGGACAGCAACTTAATTATTTAAACCATGCAGATCAATTTCCCCCAACCGGGATGAGAAGGTGCAGCGTCTCGGCCGTTAACCCAAACCCAGAAGGACGGTCCCTCCTGTTCCAACACCTGGTCTTCCCCCCCCCCCAAAACGGCGGAGAAAATGGGTCACGGGAATTCGAGATTAGCTGAGGGGAGAAGCATTTGCTTCTCACTTCTCCTTGCACCGTACATCAAAACGTGATCAATGGAAGTTGTTTCACAAGCCCTCCACTGAATAACAGAACAACAGCATCGGAAGGGACCTTGGAGGTCTTCTAGTCCAACCCCATGCTCAAGCAGGAGACAAATTATTGTCCAGCCTCTTCTTAAAAACCTCCAGTGTTTGAGCACCCACAACTTCTGGAGGCAAGTTGTTCCACTGGTTAATTGTTCCAACTGTCAGGAAATTCCTCCTCAGTTCTAGGTTGCCTGATGAGTTTCCACCCGTTGCCTCTTCTCCTGCCCTCGGGGGCTCCAGGGAATACGTGCCCCCCCCCTCTTCCTTGTGGCAGTCCCTCCAATATGTGAAGACTGCTCTCCTGTACCCCCCCCCCAGTCCTTCTTTTCGTTAAATCAACGGAAGAGCCCTGGAGATGTGGATGCTCCATCACTGGAGGTTTTCAAGACAACATTGGACAATCATTCGTCTGGGATGATGCTGAGCCCTTGAGCAAGGGGTTGGGCTAGAAGACCTCCAAGGTCCCTTCCAATGCTACTATTTTATGTTGCAGGAAATACAATTGTAACACGTCCGACTTGCATCGCGGCTCCATCCACCCGAAGCCCTAATGCAATTGGAACCATGGCTTGCAAACCATGATTGGTGGCTTAAAGCCCGTCATCCCTGGCGATTCAGCAAACGGCGGGCCAGAGCTTGTGAATCAGGCCTGTTGCTAAGCGGGCAGGCCGCTGATTTCCATAGGAATCCAGCCTCCCAAGGCATTAGCCACGCCGAGTGAATCTGTACAAAACGCCAAGCCTCAAAGACGGAGATAAGATGCACCCACTCAGAAAATTAGAGATGGGAGGTTGGACGACCTCATACAAGCCAGAAGAGATTAGATTCCCCCCCCCCCACTTTCTCATTTCGTTTTTCTTTCTCCTTAACTATATCTTTTATGCCAAAGAAAAAGGGGAAAGACAGGGCCGGGGTGTCTTAGGGCTGTTTCCGTTGTTTAACAACACGCAAACACAGAGAGCCTCAAAACCCACACAGGGGGGACCTCCAGTTCCACGGAGTCCAAATTCTGCATCTCCTGCTTTCCATTCTTCTTGGCTCTGGTCCTGCAGGGACACAACCCTCTTTCAAATGTAGGAATGCAGGCAGTCCTTGGCTTAAAAGGTAAAGGTTCCCCTCGGACAGATGTGCCAGTCATTCCCGACTCTAGGGGGCGATGGTGCTCATCTCCGTTTCAAAGCCGAAGAGCCAGCGCTGTCCGAAGACATCTCCGTGGTCATGTGCCATCTCCATGGCAGGCTCAACACCAAAGGCGCACGGAAGGCTGTTCCCTTCCCACCAAAGGTGGTTCCTATTTTTCTACTTGCATTTTTTTACCTGCTTTCGAACTGCTAGGTTGGCAGAAGCCGGGACAAGACACGGGAGCTCACTCCGTTACGCAGAGCTAGGGATTCGAACTGCCCAACTGCCGACCTTTCTGATTGACAAGCTCAGCGTCTTAGCCACTGAGCCACCGCGTCCTTTTTTTAGGTTAGAAAATACCTAAAAGCAAAGCCAGGTGTGTCTGCAGGTGTCCCAACCAACAGCTCACTAAACTAACTTTTCAAACATAAAAAATAATATCTGTTGCTAACTCGGGGAGGGGGGGCTATTCTTTTCTCTCCCCCCCCCGGCCAATAAAGGTGAATCCAAAGGGTTTTCCAATGGGGTATCAATGCCTCCCATTTATCCCAGGCGACAGGAATTGCAAAATCATCTTTAGAGGGGCGAAGGGGAGAGGGATGAGGGGGTGGGGCTGCAGGGAAGAATAGGGGCCTTGGGGGGGGGGGGGAATTGGAAGTAAATGGTCCATGAATTAAACTATGATGCACAGCTATCAATGCCGCAAATGGTTTATTCATCCAGGTTGATATTGTTGCGGCTGGGACTGAATGAAGCCCTTTCAGGCTGCCCAGATGAAGTTAAAGCAAGTAAATTTCTCTCTTTCTCGACATTAGCTGCCTCATTGCTCCTCAATCAGGCCTCACAGAGGCAGAAAATAGCTCAACCATCTGTTTTCAAATCCCTCGACTGGCAGGACTCTCGTGGGGAGGGTGCGCCAAGGGAGAGGGGAGGGAGGGAGGGGGGAAGATTTGGGGGACGACCTGGGGTAGCGGAGAAGCAGTTTTCCCACCTTGGGAGAAATCTGGGGGCAGGGGGACACGGCTGGGGCAGGGAATTGCAGGGGAAAGGGCCTTTTCAAAGGAGAAGGGAAGGAAAGGAGGAAGGCGAGAGGGGTAGAGAGAAGGAAGGAATTGAGGGTGGGAGGGAGGAAGGAGATGGGAAAAGAGGAAGGAAAGAAGGGAGGGAGAGAGTGAGAGAGGAAGGAGATGGGAGGAAGAGGAATGAAGGAAAGAAGGGAGGGAGGAAGAGAAAGATGGGAGAAGGAAGGAGATTTGAAGAGGAAGGAAGAGATGGAGGGAGGGAGGGAGGAGGGAGGGAGGGCTAAAGGAAGGGGATGGGAAGAAGAGGAAGGAAAGAAGGAAAGAAGGGAGGGAGGAAGAAAAAGATGAGAGAAGTAATGAAGGACATTTGAAGAGGAAGGAAGGAAAGGAAAGGAAAGGAAAGGAAAGGAAAGGAAAGGAAGGAAGGAAGGAAGGAAGGAAGGAAGGAAGGAAGGATAAGGAAAAACAACATGTCAATATAGCCTCTATTCGAATATCCTTTCTGGAGGAGAATGATATTGGACCCAGCCTAGTCTCCATGCACTGATCCAATCATCCAATTCTTTTGACTGAGAAGACCACCACTGCCCTGGGGACCTCCAAGTCAGAGCATCTCTGGGACATGACAAGATGCTGATCTTCACCCCCTCAGCCCCCTCCCCACAGCCTTCCCCCTCAGAGACCAAACTCCCCAAGCCCAGGGTGAAGAAGGTGGAACTCAGGAGCTCAGAAAGCTTCAACCAGATGACCAGAATTGAGTCACCTTCAAAGTCAATGTGAATGTATGGATAACTACCAGAAGACCAACTCTGGGCTCAGAATTTCCTCGGGTGACTTTGGGCCCATCCATCTCTCCCAGGAAGCCACCAAGAGGAAACGCTTTCTCGAATCCGCTCCTCCCGACCTGTCTGCCTACCCGCAACCTTGGTGTCTGATTGTCTAATTAGTCTTGATGGATGGCTTAAGTGGATCTCCTGGAAGAGAGACTCCAGGGGAGCATAAAGTGGAAGAAGAAAGACACCTCCTGGCCCATTAAGACGTCACAGAAAAGCAGCACCCAGTTGGCACACAGTAAGAGAAATGAGTGGGGCGCCATCCTCCCATTCTGCCCAAGGAAACCTGGATGCCTTCACACAACCAGCTGCCCCTGGGTGACCAAATTAACCCAGGTTCTGCCTTGAAGCCACGGATCCAATTCTGCGCTCAACGGAAGGTTGACAGCCAAGGAGAAAGTTGGCCAAGGGTTAACTTCTGGGGAGACATTCTTCCTTCTCCTAACCCTTGGAGGTCCACCTTCTTTGGACTCCAGCTCTACAAAGACCATAACCATTGAGTAGGGGAGTGGATTTTCCACCCTCTCGCTTTCAATACTAGGGAGGGGGGGGGAGTCTACTTTTACCCCAAGTTTGTTTTGAATACCAGCCGTTCCTTGCAACCTCTGAAGACGTTTCTTACAGACTCACATTTATGACGGGCGCAGTGGTCCCCTTTTGTGACCTTCTGACAAGCCAAGTCAACCGGGAAGCCAGATTCCACTTCACAACCGTGTTAATAATTGAACAACTACAGTGATTCGTTTAACGACTGTGGCAAGAAAAAATGGGACAAAACTCACTTAACAAATGTCACACTTAGCAACATAAGTGTTGGGCTAATTGTGGTCGTAGGTCGAGGACTGCCTGCATCATAACTTCTCGTGATCCTGATGCTATCCCTTGGTTGATTATGAGCAAGATGACTTTTAACAACATTTATGTCTCGTGACCCCAACTTGAATTGTTGGTTTATCTTGACTAATATTGTTGTTTTCGATTGGGTTTGGCTTCATCACACCAAAGTCAACATCTGGGCAGCCCTCCCACACAATGCAAGATTGGCCCACTGGGGTTTATTTATTAAGCCATGGTTAAGACTACCCTGGGGCAGGGGGAATAGGATAGGCCTGGGGAAGATCCCCAGATGTTTCTCCAAGCCACCTCTGGTCTTCTTACCTTAGGGTTCTCCAGAATTCCACCTTCATAGCTTCGGAGGAGGAAGATCCAAGCAGGAAGAAGGAGGAGGTGGAGGTGGGGGAGGAGGAAGGAAAGAAGGAAGGAGGGAGGGAGGGAAGGAAGGAAGGAAGATATAATTGAGTCATTAGCATAACGAGAAAACGGGATGGGGGAACGGGGCAAGCCATACTCAGCTGGAAATGGCAGCTGACTCTCCCACCAATGGGTTAAACATGGGGAGTCTCAATCCTACAAGGGTTCTCCCTGCCCCTCACCTGATGTGCATAAGGTTTTCATCCATACTCCAAGGATTAGATGGCGTGACTGGGACCGGAATTCCATGATCCTGAAACGGCACGGAGGGATGGCATGAAACTTAATGAGGACTAGGGCTGTTGGCAGGATAGCATGCCTTGCAATATTTGAGGACTGCCACAAAGAAGAGGGGTGGGGGGTCAACCTATTGGAAGTACCTGAAGGGAGAAAAAGAAGGGGGGAGGAGGAAGAGGAGGAGGAGGAGGAGGCAGAGGAGGAGAAGGAAGCAGAGAAGGGAGGAGGAGGAGGAAGAGAAGAAGGAGGAGGAGGAGGAGGAGGAGGAGAAGGAGGAAGAGGAAGAAGGAGGAGGGGGAAGAGAAGAAGGAGGAGGAGGAGAAGGAGGAAGAGGAAGAAGGAGGAGGAGGAAGAGAAGAAGGAGGAGGCAGAGAAGGAGGAGAAGGAAGCAGAGAAGGGAGGAGGAGGAGGAAGAGAAGGAGAAGGGAGGAGGAGGAGGAAGAGAAGGAGGAGGAGGAGGAGGAGGAGGGGGAAGAGAAGAAACCATCACCATCCACCTGTACTTTTGGTTCCATCCTTGCCCGCTTCCTTCAAGCGCAGGCACTGGTGATCCTTCCCACACCCACCTTGTCCTCCCTTCCCTTTCCTTCCTTCCTTCCTCCCCGCCTGCCTCTCCTGCAGAGGCCGTCATAAGCCCAAGATCTCTTACAAGGTCACTCCACCAGTCAATTAGCTGGAGCTGTTTCTCCAAGGGAAATGGGCTGTGAAAGAACTAAGCACCAGGGGCAGAAATTAGCAGGAGTAGCGGAGACAAGCGCCATGGAGAAGCTTGTCAAGCAAGAGGAACAGCTGGGCATTCTCGGGGTTTTGCTAAAGGAGAGCCAAGCGCTCCGTCCAGATTTCACGACGGATTTTACTCCGCGCGAGGCGTCGCTCAGCGAGCCTCACCCCGGCTTCAAACTTTTCATGGGGATGATGCCCACTTGGGAGAATCTCCTTCCTTGAAGGCACCGTTGTGGGATGCCTTGACGGTGTCCTTTTGTCACAGTGGGCTTGGCACCTCTGGGCAGCCGTCCACGCTCCTCCGCGGTGCCCGGAGGGGAGCGGGAGCCATTCTCCCTTCCACCGGCCAAGTTGCTCTTCTTTTGGTTAGCTTTGAAGAGCTTATAAGTCCATTGAAGGCCTCCTTTGTTTCTCCTGAATGGGCTGCCCTGAGCTATGCAGGGAGACCAGCCCTCTGCCACTTCCCTGGGTCCACCCTGGAGATTGACACCCACCCTGGGCAAACTCCCCTTGGAAACACACTACAAAGTTTCTCCTGGTTTGTAGAAGGAGGAGGCCTTCTTCTCCCTGGAGAAGAATCTCAACCTGGATCACTTGGAGATGGGTGGACTTTGGCTCCCAGAACCCCCCAGCCAGCCTGCTTTAGGAGGGGTGGGCTCCCAGAAGTCCCAACCTGCCATTTTCAAGTTGCCCTGATTGAGTCACTCTGACTGACAGGATCAGGGATCGCAACTCAAAAATTCTCACTCCCATCATGAGGATTATCTGTATAAAATTGGCAGGAAATGTTTATGACTAAGTCAACAGGCCATGATGGAAGCATATGAATTGCCAGAAACAAACCAGCAGAGGAAGAGGAGGAGGAGGAGGAGGAGGAGAAAAAGTAGATGATGGAGGAGGAGGAGGAGGAGGAGGAGGAGGAGGAGGAGGAGAAGAAGAAGAAGAAGAAGAAGAAGAAGAAGAAGAAGAAGAAGAAGAAGAAGTAGTAGTAGTAGTAGTAGTAGTAGTAGTAGTAGTAGTAGTTGTTGTTGTTGTTGTTGTTGTTGTTGTGTAAAAAGAACACAAAAGCTGGGTCCACCTTTAAGACCTTCCCCTGCTTCCTGGGCCTTTGGAGCAAATAAAGGGAGGAAAATGAAATAACCATACAATGCAAGGCAACCGGGTGGGAAAATGGGCATCTGGGCTCCCGTGTGTTCCGATCCTTGAGAGGACAATCCTGCTTGCAACTGTTGTAAGTTGCAACTCCGACGCCTGTCAACACAAGGTTTGGGGAAGCCGGGTTGAAAGAAAGAGGGGAGGGGGGGGAAGGATCCCTGCAGAATCCTCAGCTGCTCCTTAGAATCCCCAAACAATATTTGGGCCACTGAATGGAAGGCGAGTGTGTTTTCCCCATGAAGGGTCCCTCACTCACACAAGCACAAGCATTGAAATGTCCTCCTAATTGCTTTACTCCCTTCCTTAAAGCTTCTGCAGCAAAGACGCTGAGAGCTGGGAATAAAAGAGGGAGGAGAAAAGGAAGGAGCAGAGAAAGAAAACCGGACCACGCTCACCACGCTCCCGTTTCCCATATAATAAGCGCCCTAATTAAAAACACGCGTCCGCCCCTGTCTTAACAACTCGCCTACTTGACAATTTGTTTGGCAACATATGGAGGACTCTTGTAAATTTCCCCCCCGAGGCACCAAATAACAGATGGCAGGGAAAATAAAGTGTGTGTGTGTGTGTGCGGGGGGGGGGGGGGACCAGCAACCCCGAAATACACGTGTTTTTGAAGCTCAGGGTGCCTGGATGGGCATGTTTGCAAATATTTGCAAATGCAAAATAAATCAATGAAAAGCAAAAAGGCTTCCGGGTGGATGATGGTTTTTTTTCCCCTCTCCTGCGCCCAGCTTCCCATTTAAGGACCTTGGGAATCATTTGCTCTGTTTTAGATAGGAAGAAAAGAAAATAGATATATAGGTAGGGAGGGGGAGAGATAGATAGAAAGATACATGGGACTTTGAGCAATTTTCTGGTTTGTACACAAAATGTTTCTTTTCTTTTGATTGATTGAACACAGTTGTCAAACGTCCATGGAGAAGAAAAAGGGCCCCTGGTGAGGGAGGGATGCAAACCTCCTCATCTGATTTATTCTGGCTGGTCCTGGAGAGGAGGGGGGCGCGAGGAAGGAAGGAAGGAAAAGAAGAGGAGGAGGATGAAAGGAAGGAAGGAAAAGAAGGGGAGGAGGATGAAAGGAAGGAAGGAAAAGAAGGGGAGAAGGATGAAAGGAAGGGAGAGGAAGGAAGGAAGGAAGGAAGGAGGAAGGGAAGGAAGGAAGGAGAGGGAAAGAAAAATAAGGAAAGGAGGGAAGAAAGGAAAAATATGAGGGAGAGAAGGAAGGTTCGAAGGAAGGAAGAATATGAGAGGGACGGAAAGGAGTGTGTATTGTAACTCTGAACGGTCGCTAAATGGCCAGACGTAAGGCAAGGACTACTTAGAAAGCCAACCATCAAATGGAACGAAGGATTCTAGGAAATAGGGAGGATGTGAAGGGCGAAGGCCGGGATAGCTACCAGCCTCTAGGAAGAAAGGGTGGAACCAGAAAGCATTGACTGGAGGGGGGGGGGAAGAAAGGGTTAAAATTCGGGTACCTTCGCATACTCCATGAGGTCGCTCCGTCCTCGGAAGCGGGTGTAGAATTCGGGGATCCTCCATGGCGCCAGGATCTGCAGATACCATGGAAATAAAGTCGGTCGTGAGCGAAAACCAGTTTGGTGCAGCGGGAAAAGCTTCAGGCCAGGAAGGAAGGAACCGCCGGCTCCGCTCTTTAAGGGTCACGGCTGGTTTTGGACATTGAGGAAGGAGGGAGGGATTAATTGAAGAAGGGATGGAGGAAAGAGATTGGAAAAAGAGGAAGGAAAGAAGGGAGGGAGGAAAAAGATGAGAGAAGGAAGGAAGGAGATTCAAAGATGAAGGAAGGGAGGGTTGAAAGATGAAGTCAGGCAAAGAAGGAAGGAAGAAAGAAGGAAAGAAGAAAGGAAGGATTGAAAGATGAAGTCAGGCAAAGAAGGAAGGAAGAAAGAAGGAAAGAAGAAAGGAAGGATTGAAAGATGAAGTCAGGCAAAGAAGGAAGGAAGGAGGGAGGAAAGAAGAAAGGAAG